CCAACACAAGACCTACGAACCTTTGATGTCAATACTATTATGAACCATATTTGGGTCAGAAAAACTGATAGAATTTTCGGGAGGGGAAACATCTGATCGAATTTTTGGCGCAGCTAAAAAGATAAGTATCAAATAAAAATGGCCTTTATTTTAAGAATGTGGAGAGAGAGTCCATGACCCTCCCAGGTCTGGCATTCTCTCCGCCAGACACGTGGTGTGGGGGCATATATGTAGCTTAGGTTTGGGGTGGTGCCTAAGGGGCATTACTGATGCACAGGTAGCCCATTGGTATTCATTTGGCGCCACAGGTAAATTGCCTAGGGGCAGGGAAGGTACCTCAAGATAGAGCCCTTTGGTTCCGCCTCCCAGCCTCCCCACCACCACCACCACCAGAGTCCCATCTGGGGCAAAATCCTTTCAAAAGTCCCATCCCTGATAAGATATTTCATGTCTTGGTTGCCACAACCCATGAAGCCCTTGAGGTTCCTTGGGTGAAGAAGGACTATGGGAGGATGAGAAAATAAGAGACAAAGCTGGGGTCAGGGGAGCCCTTACTCTCTGAATGGGAGGAAAGGAACTGCCTCCTCAGTGCAGGGTGATTATTTGTACATTTTAGCAACTTAATATCACATGACACCCCATTGTCCTAGCTGTTTGGATTGTCTGGGGGCTAAGCATTCTCTGGGCTGAAGTAGCTCCTTCATGTGGCTTGCCCCAGGCACTCTTTGTTCTTGGGACAGCCATGCCCCACCCCTGCATGTGTGGTCAATTTCTTGCTTCAGCTGCAGCTCCAACACTTGGTAAAACGAACATAACCAGAGCGATTACTTGTAACTCAATTCAAGTCTAGAGGAGAAGGTACACAGTCACTCTGCAGGGCTGAAGGAGGTGAAGCAGTTAGCGCTACCATTTACCTGCTACCTGTTTTCTGTGGCTCTGGAGCTTTTTCTAAGGCTCTGGACTGGGACTGGGGATTTAGCTCAGCTGCAGAAGTGCCTGCCTGGCATGGGCAAGGTCTCCAGTACTGGAAAAAAAAAAAATAAGGCTCTGAAGCAAATGGCATAGCTAGAGTTTCACGTTGCTTGGGGAAGTCCTTCAATTTGCTGCTCTCCAACATATCTGAATATTCAGTGCTTTAGCTAAAGTTTGTGCTGTTCAAGGGTGGTCCAAAAAATGTGTAGCCCAGGTTGGTTCGCCACCTGCCCACTCCAGCAACTAGGCCATTTGTGGAGCTAAGAATGGTTTCTGAATATTGGGTAAGGGGAGGGGTTTGGCATATGAAATTCAAATTTTGGTGTTAGTAAAGTATTATAAAAAGAGCTTCTATTCAGGTATCAGCTGTTTCTGAGCTTCAGTGGCAGAATTGAGAGCACCCAAAATACTCTCTGGCCCTTGAGATAGAGGAAGTTGGTAAGAAGGGCTACTCTGCAGGCTTCCAAGTCTGTCCCTGCTGGGGTGATTTTTTGGAATCCAATGCATGTATATGTGTCCTGAATGAAATTCCACTGCTTTCCTTGCTCCTACAGTAAGACCAGCTCCTGCCTATGTCCTTGAGGTTGGCTGCTGTCCCTGCCCCCAGGGCCCATCAGTTTCCAGGAATGTCCCATGGTCTACACACCCTATCCTCTATGTGTCCCTCACAAAGCACTGATCACCTATACCTTTACTTAGCTTGTGTCATCATTTGAGACAACCTCAAGGACTTATAGATGAGCTCAGGCAAACCAGGGTTTTCCAACAGAGATGGAAGGAGCTCAATCCCAAGTCCTCAGGTAGCTGTGGAAGTAGAACGGCAGGGCTGTCTCCAAAATTGCTGTTCCTGCAGAGCCTAAACTAGGTAATAGGGGAGGGCAGAACCATAATGGCCCAGACATAGCCAGGCCTACTGAGGACGGAGCCCACAGGTAGGGGCTGCTCACAGTTCCTGAGGACGAGAATGTTCAGACAGTGCCTTGTGGCAGGCAGGGGCTGAGAAACAAGGATTTAAGCTGGCACCTGCAGGCATGCCCCTTAGAGTCCTCAATGTCTCTCAAACTGCCAGTGTAACAAGGAACAAAAAATGCTAAGCTCCCAATGAAGATGAAATAAAAACAAGTTTAAAATTGTTTTGTTTTGTGAGACAGAGTCTTGCTGATTAGTCCAGCCTGGTCTGCCTCAACCTTACAATGCTGGAATTATAGGTATGTACCACCATATCTGGCTCCCCAAAACTAGTTTTAATCACAAATATTCCGTGCACTAACATTGGTATGATTTTTTTAAATTTAATTTTGCAGGAGTGGAGACTGAATGAGGCCTCTGCATTAAGTTACAACCCAAACCCTTTTAATTTTGTGCTAAGGTTTTGCCAAATTGCCTACATTGAAATCTTCCTGACTCAGACTTTCAGAGTGCTAGAATTACCAGCACACACACTGCTATAATTTTTTAAAAATTGGAGGAGAAACCCAAAAGCACCAAGAAGCCCTTGCGGAAATAGTCTAGTAAAGTATCACCCCATCTGGGCAGTATGTTTTGCATCCACTAAGCACAACTGATATGCGCAAGGGAAGTTAAGTAACAGCACTATATGAACAGAGAAAAACAGACAGTAGAGGAAAGTCTGGAGAGAAAGGTAAAAAACCTTAATACTATCTGTGGGCAAAGGGCATTTTAAAAAAACTGGTTCTGGGGATTGAACTCATGACCTGATGCTTGCCAGGCAGGTGCTTATGGCACAGAGCTAAATCCCCAGCCCTGGGAATTTTTTATTTATGAAAATTTGTTTTGGGGAACTGAGGACTTAGCTCAGTGACATAAGTGCCTACCTTGCAAGCACACAGTCATGAGTTTGATCCCCAGTACTAAAAACAAAAACAAAAAAAGGATCTGGTTTTGCATTTTTAGCTTTTTCCAAATGTATACAGAGTACTTAGTCCCTAAATACCTTCAGTGATTGAAACAGAAGCATACAATGTGGAACCCTCCCTCTTGGTTGTGGCAGACATGGGCACTGTTTATCTGCACATGTCCTTTGACAGTTGTAGGTCTCCTTGTTCCTTTCAGTGTGGACCAGATGGTCCTAGGACAAATGACCTGAAGACCCTATCTGAGGCTAAAAGGCACTCAGACACTTGGCACTTCTCCACTGAACCGGGCCTCAGCCACATCATTGGCTCAGCCTCCAAACACTCTACCTCCAAGACCACACTAGCCTCTCTGGAAGTCCTCCTTGAAGGGCAGCCTCCTTTTCCTGCTTGTGGCCCACACCTAACTTGCCATGGCCGTAGCCCTCACACAGAAAAAAGGACCTTAACTGAGGTGAGAGCCAAAGGATTCTGTTAATGACCTGTGCAGCAGCTGGGTGTGGTGGCCCATGACTCTAATCCCAGCACTTTGGAGGCTGAGGCAGGAGGATTGCCTTGAGTTCCTTTTTCCTGTGGTACTGAGAATCAAACTCAAAACATCCTGCTCACCAGGCTGGTGCTGTGCCACTGAGCTAAATCCCCAGTCCAGGATTACCTTGAGTTTAAGGCCAGCCTGAACTAATGAGACCCCCATCTCAAAAACACAAAAACAAAAACAAAAACAAAACCAGCCCTCAATAAAGCCATACTATGACCCATTTATAGTGGTGGCCCTCTCTCCTCACAACCCTACATCCCCATCACATGACCCTGCCCTAGTAATCATCCTCTAGCAAGCTATTATTATGCATTTTGCAGTGTTTTTTCTTTTCTCCACCCTACTAGGTGGTCAGCTGCACAAGGGCAGGGATTTAATACAGAAGAATGAAAATATCCACAGTAATAATAGGAAACAGGGAGACAGACCTTTTGCAAATAGAAGGATCAAGACATGAAGGACAGGGAAGACATGGGGAAGCAGAGAGGATGTAGAAATAATGGAAATGTGTTATGTACATGCTTCAAATCCCCACAATGAATGTAATCAGTATGTACTGCAAATATGTACCAATAAAATTAGAAAAAGGTAGTCACAGAAGGTGGAGGTGGGAACTGGACCAGTGTTGCCCAAAGAAAAACCCTTTGTAAAAAGAAGACCATCTCATTTGAGAGATACAAATTAAAACAATACTGAGACTTCCTATCACCCCAGAAAGAATGGCTGTTATCAAGAAATCAGTAACAAATGCTAGAGGGCTGTGGGGGAAAAGGAACCTTTCTCCACTGTTGGTAGAAATGAAGACTTTTGCAACTGCTGTGGAAATCAGTGTGGAGATTCTTCAAAAAACTAGGGTTGGAGGTCCCATTCGACCCAGCTATTCCCCTTCTAGGTATGTTCCCAAAAGAATTAAAGACATCATACCACAGTGATACAGGTGTACCCATGTTTATAGCAGAACTGTTTATAATAGCCAGATCTTGGAAACAACTTAAATGCCCCTCAGCTGAAGAATAGATAAAAAAGATGTGGTATTTTTATACAATGGAGAACTACTTAGCCATAGAGAAGGATAAACTGAACACTTTTATAGGTAAATGGATGCAACTTGAAACCATACTCATAATTGAAATAAACCAGACACACATGTATAAGCATCATATTGTCTCCCTAGTATGAAATGAAAGAATAAATAAGATCCAAAATGTACAACACATGTTGTAAAATGGGAGGAATCTTCAAAAAGAAAGAAATTGGGATGAGGGAATGGCAAAAAGGAAAAAGCAGATATGTGTGTGTCTGTATAAGTTACACTAATTTGTCTTAGTTCATTGAAATGAAAGGTTTGTGTTAACACTGTTTGGACAATTAAATGCCAGGATCTTGTACGCTGAGTAACTAAAGATAATAAACAATGTATTAACCATTGTTACCCTCTTTCCTTTTGAAATTTTATTTTTTCTCTCTTAAAAAAGAAGAGATCACCTGAACAAAAACAGACAGAAGTTACAAATGGATAGTAACTGAAGAGAAGAAATGAATCAGGAGTATGCCAGTTCCTACAGACAGCCTTTGCTTTTTGTATTGCTTTGACTTTTAAAAAAGCCATACTTCAGTTATTTTATCATTTAAAAAAATTTTATTGTCATTCATAATCAGATGGCAGTTGGGTACTAGTTTCCATACTTCATACTAGTTATATTCTGCAGAAAATACAATTAGACTAATTCATTAATGATGGTTCAAGCTTTTCCTTATTAATGCAAGAAAACTCACCCACCTTTTTATTCCTTTTAATAAAATGGAAGGTTGCCATGCATTTGACTTCACAGTCTGCAGCAACAGCCTGATAGTCATTCACATTTACTTCATAGAACAACACACTGGAGTACTTTTCAGACAGGGAATGAAAGAAAGGCTTGATCATCTTGCAAGGCCCACACCACGTGGCTGAGAAATCAACTACTACAAGTTTATCTCCTGCACTATTCCAGGCTTGCTGACATCTCTCTTTGCTTTCAATCTGCTGCAACATTCTGGCTGCTGGGGGCCTGACAAGCTACAGAAGCAAGTGGTAGAAGTCACTGGACAGTAGCTCTATTTTATCACTTTTTTTTTTGTGGTACCCAGGATCAAATTCACGACTGCACATTTGCAAGGCAGACGCTTATGCCACTGAGCTAAATCCCCAGCCCCTATTTTATCACTTTAATGACACTAAAGTTAGAAACGAATCTGTAGGGGCTGGGGATTTAGCTCAGCGGCATAAGCGCCTGCCTTGAAAGCAGGCAGTCATGAGTTCGATCCCCGGTACCGATAAAAACAAAAAAGACAAAAAAAAAAAGAAACGAATCTGTAAAATATTATAAAACCCTAAATGTCTGTTTATGAAAAAAGAAAATGTCCACATGAAAATATAGGACTTATAAACAATGAGCAGAGGGGTTAGATGCTTTAGAAGGCCAGGCTATGCAACTTCATGGTATCTTCAGAGGCCATGACCTGGATCCTACACCTCTACCTACCCCCAGATGGGCAACAGCAAAGACCAACAGCCATGGAATGACAGGGTTGTGGTTTATTTATTTATTTATTTTGTCTTTTTGAGGCAAGGTCTCACTATGCGGTTCAGACTGGCCTTGGGCTCACTTTGTAGCCCAAGCTGGTCTTGAACTTGCAATGATTCTCCTGCTTCAGCCTCCCAAGTGCTGGGATTACAGAAGTATGCCACTACGCCCAGCTTAGAGTGTGCAGTTTAACATTCATCTAGAGACATATGTTTTTAATAGTTGTTTTTACTTCTATAAGAAAAAAGGCACAGTTGTCTTCATTTAAACAGAAAATTCCACCCTTACATTCATTTACTCAAGAGCTGCTTCAAGGAAAAGAGAAGCTGCTCCCAGATTGCAGCACTGGCTAGATGGAGGTTCAGTCCTGCAGTTTGCGCTCACATTTCTTCTCCAGATCTGCCATCTCCTTCAGGACCAGAGCAACATTGTATCGCAGCTCCTGGAACTTGGTGATGGGGACCTCAAAACGGTATGCTGATCCATCTGAAAGCTTGAGCTGCATCAGGACACTTGGTTGCAGGGATCGGGCCAGAGCACTTGTGGAGATAGCCACATCTACCCGCCACTGAAAGTCAGCAAGGTGGGGCAGCCAGGCCCCCTGCTGCCCAGCCACAGAGTCAAGGAAGGGGCGCTGGGTCCCAAATACCACACTGGCCAAATCTCCAACCAGGTCTTGAGGGATACCAAGCTCCTGGAGCTGATCCTTAAAGGCATCAGGTTTCAGGCTGGTGGGGGGCAACCTGAGGGCCTGCTGGAGCAATGTGTGTGTTCCAGCAAGCAGAGCACTCAACCGCTCCTCTGATAGATTGGCACTGACACCGAGGCGTTGTACAGCCTCTTGGCAATCCTTCCCCTGAAGGCTGCTGACCACAAGCTTCAGCAATTTTCTGAACATGCTTCTGTCCAGGTCCTCTAGGAGCCGGGCCATTGCTGCCACCTGTGGAGGAAGCTGGGCCCCGGGGAAACTGACCCGGCCACTGTGACTGTCAGCAGGATGATGCAAGTACAGAGCTGCAGCCCCTAAGGCAGACATCACTGCTTCCTCTTCCTTGATCAGCCCAGTATCGAGTCCCAACCTCAGCTGCCTGGGAGGAGAAGGGAGGGAAAAGGCCAGTGACTCCCACTTCCTTAGGGCCTCTAGACTAACAAATGAGGACTGGTGTGCTCCCATATGAAAGACCAATAAGTGAAGGTGTGATGCGCAATAGGTAGGTGGCCCTGGGAAGGGGTAGCAAAGGGGCCTACCTCAAATAGCCCAGAGAATGTGATATCTGAGATGAGTAGGAGTTAACAGGGGAGTGAGCAGGGAAAAAGACCACGGGTAAGTCCTCTAAGTAACAAATGTACAACTAGGAAAATGGACGGGAAGGTGGTGGTGTGTCCAGGACACGGCCCCACACTCAGATCCCGACCCCACACTCGGAACCCTCACAGAATCTCTCAAGAGTTAATTATTCACACCTTATAGATCTGGAAATCAAACCTCCATATGCAAATGCCCAGCCAAGAACGACAGCCCAGAAGCCCCGGTGCTCACAGACCTGTGCAGTCTCTGCAGCGAAGGGGCCAGGATACAGGAGTACGCGCGGCGGTGACCAAACAGGCTGTGATATTACCAGAGGGACTGCGCAGCATCCCCGGGATGGGAGCGATGCGGCCCACAGACCAGGTCACCTACAGCAAGCGGCCCCCAGGGGCACTGCGACTGCCGGAAGTGGACTCTAGCCGAGGAAGCCGCCCAGCGCCACTTCCGATCCGCTCTAGGAACACTGGAGGTCCCTCCTCAGTGGTACGCGGTCCCAGGCCCCGGCCGGAACCGGGCTGATCAGTGTGGGTTTCCTGGTCGCCCAATCCTCTGACACTTAAAAATACTTTTAGGGAAGAAGAGTATCTGAAGCGCTTTTGTTTCGGCGAGGCAGAAGCAGAAACTGTGCCTGACTCGAATGCGACTCATGCCGCGGTTCGCAAACCTGAGACAAGGATGGAATTTCAACAAGCTGAGCTTAAAGATCCGAATTAACATTGACCAGTGTGACCCGGAGGGCAACACTGACCCCAGCCTGTCCCGCGCTCGGTCGCGCTGCAGTCTTCTCGGCGTCCCTGTATGTTAACCGGGCTCCTGTGGGTGACCCTGTTCTTGTTTGACCTACTTTGCTGGACCCAGTTAGAAGCTAAAGGACGGGGGAAAAAAAAAAAAAAATCTAAGGGCAAAACGACGGCCTACTATACACTTTTTTTTTTTTTTTTGAGATTAAAAAAAAGGGTAGAAATAATACAAACTTACAGAAAAACAAACGGTAAGAAATTGCTGGTTGATAAGTTACACATTGTCATCTTAGAAATAGCTGTTCATGTTATAGAATTAAAGTATTTAGAATGACATTCATAAAATGACATTACAAACCCTTCTGCTCTATGATCAAACAAGAGCTTGGTAATATGGTTATCAGTCCTACACATTTGTTTTACTTCTCAAAGAGGGTAAGATTAAACATATCAAAACAGAACATATCAGTTAAAAAGACAATTTAAAGAAATACAGATTTCGTAGCAAGCCCACTGGAGATCTTCATTGTCTATCTAACTGTCTCTAGTGTCTTACAAATACTTGTCCCCATCTTCACCCACCTTATATACTTATTGTATATTATAGAACTAATCAAATCATTGGAGACTTTTTAGGTCCTCAAGTACCAAATTAGGGAAGACAATAGTAACTACCATCGCATCTCTCATTCTCTTTGTGATAGCTGTCCCCATCTCTACATATGCTGAAGTTGAACTCAAGAAACCAGTCTGATGTCATTCTAATCAGCGAACATTAGTATTGCTAGAATTTCTAACATAATGCTACAAAATTAGCCTCGGGTTTCTTAGCATCTCTTCCTCAGAGTATCTGTTCAATACATCTTGCATTATATAATCTGTTCCCGTAAATAATTAAAAAAAAAAAACCCATGTGTGAATTTCTACATATATATCTATACTCTCTGTGTTATAGGGAATACCAAGTCATAGCAAGACAGCAAAACAATTTCCTAGAAAAACATGCAATGGATAAGACATATAAGACCACAATATAGATGATCTTCCGTAGTTACTATGTTTCCTCTTGTTATTTTCAATAGATTTGACCACCACATTGGCTTATTATAGTTAAACAGAGTATCACCTATTTTTATAAAAACTTAACTTTGACAGCATTGTAGGATTTGAGAGCTGTTACTAATTAATACCAGTATGGATATCCTTTACATCTTGTCATCCTCAGAGTAGTTGCCTCTATTTTTAGGGTTGATACTAACAAGCATACCAATTTCAAATAAAATCAGCCATGGCCAACCCATAGTCTTATGATTCAGATTCAATTAAGATCAGTCATAGTAAGACAATGTAAGTATTGTAGGATTTCAGTTTAAGTTAATAGGAAAGTAAGGATAGTTACCATGGTATAACCTGCTATTTTTGGGTCAAGATGTCTGTGCCCTCAAATCTGACATGAGTGGACAGACCAGTATATATTAAATTCAAACTAAATATGTCCATAAGACTACTATGTCTTTTAAATCCTTATATACCATTAACAATGACCTCTGCCTTTTTCTTTTTCTTTTTTATAGAGTTTCAGCGCTGTCTATACTAAAGACTATAGCTTACCGTCTCTGCCTCATGTCTGCTACTCCACTTTTCTGCTATAATTTGTCCACCTTATTCCCTCATTCCACTGTCTGCCCCGTTCACTGAGGCCTCTCTGTCACTGTTGCTGGAATCCTGGTATCTCTTCCTCTCTTTCTCTGTAATGTCCTTTAGCACTCTCTGTAGGGTTGGATTGGTGGCCATGAACTCCCACAGTTCCTCCTTGTCTTGAAAATATCTTATTTTTCCATTAATTTTGAGAGAGAGTTTTGACGGGTATATGAGCTTCGGTTGCATATCATTTTCTTTCAGGACTTGGAATATTTCTCCCCACTCCCTTCTTGACTTAAGAGTTTGTGTTGATAGGTCCGCTGTTATTTTGATAGTTTTCCCGTTGTAAGTAACCTGCATCTTTTCTCTGGCTGCTTTTAATATTCTGTTCTTTTGGTGGATTTCTGGAATCTTTATTATTATATGTCTATGCGTAGATGTTTTGGTTGTAGGTAGCTGGTGTTCTGTATGCCTCTTTTATCTGGATATCATTTCTTTTTGCAATATATGGGAAGTTTTGCTTTAATATATCTGTGAATATTCTTTGTATTTCATTTTTGGTTGCTCCTGCTTCCTCACTCACATTCTTTATTCTTAAGTTATGTATCTTTTTGTCATCTTCTAGTTTTTGAATTGCTTCATTCTGGTTCCTTGTTATTTTTAAGAGGCTTTTTCTTTCACGATCATATGCCATAAATCTCTCTTCAAGTTTCAGAAGGCTGACTTTAGTTTCTGTCAAGGCATTTTGCCAGTGTTCAATGGAGTTTTTAGTTTCCTGGCATTCTCTTTGGATCTGTTTCATGCATTCTAAGTTATGTTTAAATTCTTCAGAAGTTTCTCTTTCTTTTCTGATTTCCTCAGTTCTTCCCTCTGTGTTCTCTTGGGCGGGGCTTGTCATTTCTTTAATTAATCTCTTTATATCTTGCCTCACTTGAATCAGAAGTACAGCTTTAAATTCTTCTATGAGATCATGAAGGTACTTTTTAATTTCGGCTGATGCTGTGTCGAGCAATGGATGGTTATTGTGCTTGTTCACTTCGGTGTTTACTTCTGTTGGGCTTATTTTCTCATGTTGGGCAGCTGGAGATTTTTTTTTATTTTTATCTCTTGTCATGTTTCTGGTTTCTTTCAGACTGTCCTGGGGTTCTCTGGCCCTCTCCGAATTGCTTAGGGCCTTTCAGAAGCGTGCTGACTTGAGTTTTTGCTGTCTTCCCCAATTTGCTGTTATCTGGGGTAGGCTGGGATGCAGGGGTGGTACAGGCTAGTCTCCAGCCTCTGCACCAGTCAATCTGTAAATTAGGCTGTACTTTCTGGATGTCACTGAATTGTGACTATTTTGTATCTGCTTGTTGGGCCCCAAGCAGAGGCTTGGTTTAGCCCCAGTAGCTCCTGACGGTTCTCTTTGTACCAGAAGCAGCTGACTAATGTCACTATGGCACAGGGTCCTGCCCAAATCCCAGCTGTTCTCTTCCAGACCTCTCCGTGACAGGAGCACCATAACAGCAGAACTGCCCAAACTCCTACACTTTAACATATTTCACTGCAGTTTTTAAAAATAGCGTCAATAGACCCATATTATTGAAATGAGTGAATTATGTATGTGTTATTCTTAAACAAAGCTATTTTTAACTGTGAAAAGTAGAGAATGCAAGTTAAGTAAATGGGTAAAAGATTGGAGTAGATATTTAGTCAAGGGTGATATAAAATAGCTAACAAGCATATAAGATGTTTGATATCCTTTATGTTAGAGAAAAAGAAGTTGAAGTTACAGGAAGATATCATTACAAGGCTTATAATAAACCAGATGAGGAGCCACATGCCTGTAATTGCAGCACTCAAAATACTAAGACAAAAGGAACTCCATGAATTCAAGGCCAGCCTGGGCTATACGGCAAGACCCTTCTAAGAATAAAAATAAAAATAAAAATAAAAGCCTGGCTAGTGGCACACACCTGTAATCCCAGTGCTCAGGATGCTGAGACAAGAGGATCACTGCGAATTTGAGACCAGCCTCGGCTACAGTATGCTAAGTTCAAGTCCAGTCAAGACTACATAGTGAGGGCTGGAGATTTAGCTCAGCGGCATAAGCACCTGCCTTGCAAGCAGGCAGTCGTGAGTGATCCCCGGTACCGATAAAAAGGAAAAAGACAAAAAAAAAAAAAAAAAGACTACATAGTGAGACCCTGTCTCAAAAAAACAAAAAACAAAAAAACAACAGCAACAAAATATATATATATATATATATATATATAGAGAGAGAGAGAGAGAGAGAGAGAGAGAGAGAAGAGAGAGAGAGAGAGAGAGAGAGAGAGAGAGAGAGAGAGAGAGAGAGAGAGAGAAAGGAGGAAAGGAAACTTGGTGCTCCCAGAAGACTATGGACTATGGATTTAAACCAGTAAGTGTAGATCTTCAAAGTGATACTGCTCTGCAGGTGGACATTTCTAATGTTCTTAGTGAGAGGGATGAAATAAAACTCACTGTTTGCATAAAGAGTTAATTGTCCAATTTTAAACAAAATGAGTTTTCTGTTATCTGGGTTCATGATGCCTTTGTTGAAAGTTAAGGCTATGCAGTTATATCATCCTGCCAGTACCATCAAGACCTGGGTTTTTTTTTTTTTTTTTTTTTGGTCTTTTTCATTTTTTATCGGTACCAGGGATTGAACTCACGACTGCCTGCTTACAAAGCAGGCGCTTATGCCACTGAGCTAAATCCCCAGCCCCTGAAAGATCTATAATTTTTTTTTTTTTGTCTTTTTCCTTTTTATGGGTACCGGGGATCAAACTCATGACTGCCTGCTTGCAAGGCAGGCGCTTATGCTACTGAGCTAAATCTCCAGCCCCTAAGACCTGGTTTTGATGCTGCAAGGAAAAAGCTACAGAAGCTTGGAGAAGGGTCAGTGACAAAGGAAGAATTCACAAAGATGAAAAAGGAACTGGAAGTGAATATTTGGCAACATTCAAGAAGACAGATATTGTGTTCCTGACTTGTGTGGCAGCACATGCTATTTGAGAAAAGATTTAAATTTCTGTGTCTTC